GCATTCCTGGGTTGTCTAGCCATGTAATTGTTTCGCTTCTGTGTTGAGTATGTGTGTTTGGAGCTACACATCGCTTGTGGAGGTTGAAAACAATGTTAAAATTGTGACTTTCCAAGGTTTTCCTTGCAATTCTGGTTGAAAATGCAGTAGATACTGATAAAGGTCAGAATCATGTCTTGAGTCATAATTTTCCAACAAATTACCTTTTTTGTCTGCTTTTCACAGCTGTTTCCTCTGGTTTGTCTTTATTGGATGATTGAGTTCTGCTGTATGGCTACAACTATAGGATTACCAGCATTATGGCTGCTTCAGAAAGAGAAGCTAGGAAGAGGGTTTAAGTTGAAAAGATTTAATAATGAAGCTGTTTTCAAAACTTGAACTCTTATAACCCAGTAACTTGAGAATCAAAAAAACCCACCCAGACTGCCATTAAATATATGTTCCAGAGACCATTGATTTTTGAAGTGCATCCTATAAGTGCTGATTCGGCAAGCAGTTTTTTGTTATAATCAGATCTAAAAGTCCTTTATCTCCTATCAGCTGATGGCTGTGCTATAACCTTTGGCTTCAAACTTCTGGTAGGAACACGGTACGTATTTCTACACGGAATGAAACTCTAACGGCCTTATCAAATAACAGCAGTACTCATTGTGTTTAACAGTGCTGGAAATTAGTTTCTCGGGCACTGATCTTGACAGGTCAGCTGTCACAAATTGGTAGACATATCTGTAAAAACATCGGTCCTATAAACAAAATTCTGTCTGCAAGAAGTGGAAGTTAAAATTGACACAATTCTGAACAAAGGAAATGTTGTGAAGCATAAGGATACACAGGGAAAATCTCTTCTGGAAAAGGTTTTCCTCATGTTCCATTTATTAACTTTATCTGCATACTTTGTGTCTCCATAGGGAACACTATGGAGTACTGTGCTGAAGTAAAATATGCTCCTCCTCCTTGCACCTACCCCTACTGCATAAAAAAGGAATCTTTGTCTATCTTATTTTGAATAAAAGGAATAACTTTTTGGTTTTGTACGGGCATGTTTCCAGCTCCTTTTAGGAATTCTTAGTGTTAATGCAGAATGCAAAACATAGGGTATTCAAAAAGTCTAAGGCCTTGATAGGAAACCAGATAAAGTTTTTGAAGGGAAAAGGAATGGAAGAAGGAATTGAAATGTTAGTCTACCGGTAGTGAAGTAATAAATCAATGTGTTACATTTCCCATTTTTTAATAAATATTTAATCATCATCTGTATATTGTGCAAGCCATTTTGGCCAAAACCTTCCATGTATCTTTATAATATACTTACTGCACAGGACAGCTGAAGAAGGCTTAGACAGTAAACTTTCTTTACAGATTTGAGATACAATGTATACTACATGCACTTATACTGGTCTTTGAAGTCTGTTGAACCATATTGATTTGTGTCAGCTGACAAATTGGTCAATTTTATTTGGCAATAGCAAAAGCTAAGGAACATCTCGACATATTTCAGAGCAAGCATCTACATTCAAATTTAAAAGATACCATGGCTATAGGTATCTACCTGTACTGCTGCAGACACTTTTATGTGCAGAAGCTCACCTGTCACTCCAAACTGACATCACAGGGGCAGAGTTCTCAATCTGAGTTATCTAGCTTTCAGGAGTGTCATTAGAAAGCTGAATATTATTCAGTCATTCTCCTCCTCCATCATCCAGGTCAGGTGGATAAAAGGAGGTGTAGCTTAATTCTTTCCTTTCCTGTGTTTCAGCTTTGAAGATGTAATGACTATAGAATAATTTTCATCAGTTGTGATAGTTATGATGGCTGAATATTCACTGAATGTCCTGTTCTTTTCTAGTTCCCTGTTCATTAGTTTAGTGCAACAAAACAAAAATAAAACTATACCGATCTCTTCCGTCACATTTTATTTGTTGGTTTGATTTTTGACAGTTTAGGATAAAACTGAAGGCATAGAAATAAATCATGGAGGACATCTAGCCATAGGCATTTTCAGTGAAATAAGTTATTTCCAAAAAGGTTTTGACTTGTTACATGAAATTAGCTTCTGGCAGGAAGAAACCACATTTCACAGATCTTGGACTGTGTTTAATTTCTACAGGGCATGCCGTCAGCTAACAACACTGCTTCCACATATGGGAACGTAGTATTGGTGTTTAAGAGGAGAGCTGAAAAAAAAGGAGGCAACCATTTCTACTTGATACTATGTAGAATCAAAGAATCTTTGGGTTGAAAGGGACCTTTTAAGGTCATCTAGTCCAACCCCCCTGCAGTGAGCAGGGACATCTTCAACCACATCAGGTTGCTCAGAGCCCCATCCAACCTGACCTGGAATGTTTCCAGGAATGGGGGATCTACCACCTCTCTGGGCAACCTGTGCCAGTATTTCACCACCCTCATGGTGAAAAGTGTCTTCCTTCTATCTAGTCGAAATCTATATGACTCTTCTGAACAAAATTACACCATGGATTCTGTTTGAAGGGAAAAGAAGTGTCTGGCTGCTGCTGAAGAGCATATTTAGTTTGAATAATCCAAAGGTCACGTAAGATTGACTTTTTATTGAGCCTATTCTATTGAATTTTACTGCATTTCTTTTCAGAAAGAAAATGTAGTAGAATTGTTTTTTAAAGCGATACATTTAATTGAAAAATAAAATATTTAGATGTAAAGTTCCGAGAAGATATCCTGAAAACATGCCTCCAGGTACATCTAGCACATGCATGAAGCACTGGTAGATACTTGATCATCAGGAGCCTGGGAACTTGAGAGGTTGTCATTGTTTTACTGATGAGGTAGAAGTAGGGCAAGAAGAAGGAAAATAGGACTTGAGATAGGACCTAAATAAAGTCCGAGAGAGAAGAGAAGGCAGTTTGACACCATAGAATCTGTGTCAATAATTTATGACCATCAGTGAAAGAGAACATTATGCAGCAGGAAAAAGGTCGGTCTTTGATATGTAGTAAGGAATGATTTGAAAAGTTGGAGGGGGTCTGAGCAGAGCGGGAAATGTGGGATAGTGAGACCACAGGTTATCCTTAGGACTGTCAGGCAGTATAAATTTACTGGGGAGAAATGTCATATCAGAGTGATCGAAGTGAAATAATATGACAAATGCTACAGATGATAGAACAGTTATGTTACAGGCATGGATGAAAACTTATTCAGGCAAGGTACTTGTTTATATCTGTCCTCTGATTCTCATTAATTCTGATTCTGCATTAAAAGCCACACACTTCTCTTATTCTCTCTATCAGTTCTGGATTCGGTCAACCTACTGTTAAATGTTTATGTAAGTATTGAAAGATTTCTGCTTAACAGTCCTTCAGACTCACTGTACTTTCTGTTCTAGTTGGCAACGTGGGACTCTGAGAAAGGACTGAATGGTAGTCTTCAAGAACGACGTCTGGGCAATGACTTGCAAGGACTGACACTCAAAGTGGTGACTGTCTTGGTATGATCTTATTTGAGTTCAGGAAACAAACACTCAAAATAAAAAGAGTCTGACTATTTTGGGCACTTCCCTCAGGATTTTTCCCTATAATTTTCAGTTCTGTATTTTTGAATGATCAGTTATGTAGGCAAGGAGAATAGATGGTGGCCTTTTATTATTTTATGTGAAGCTGTGCACTGTCAGAGAAAGAGCATTTGTTTGTTTGCTTATGCTGTTTTTCTGCATCGTAATTCCTACTGAGCATGGAACCAGCACAGGGCCTGAGTGCACAGGGGTGCATTCCAGATACCGTACTCTAACTCAGATACGCAGTTTCCAGCATTTCATGGTTTTTTTAAGATCAGATGGGCCAATTATGATAATCTAATCTTGGCTCTTGTACACTGCAGGCTGTAAAATTTAATCAAGTGTTTGCTCCATCAAGCTCATAAATTCCCATTGAGATAAACTATATCTTTCTTTAGAAAGGCATAGTCTTTCCAAAAAATCATTATGCTTTTGGGAGTACTGTCTGTTAGTATCCAGAGTGGTAGCAGAGCTCCTGTCAGCTAAGTGCTAAATTAGGGGCAAACTCGGGCTTGAATGCATTTCTGCCTAAAATTTTGCAGCTTGAAGAATGTTGTGTCTTTTTGTGATTTCTATTTCTCTTTTCCTGAATCATGGTACAAATAGGAAGTAACACATAAGATCATTAAGGCAATCCCCCCGGCCCCCAGTTTTCTTTCCTCTGCCTGATGACAGGTGAGGTTACGCTGTAGCTTATGTGGCAGGTGAGCAGATGCCTTCCACAAGAATGTCAGTACTAGGTTGCAAAGGCAGCCAGCTGCGATGGCTGTGCTGCCAGCAGCCCTGGTGTTCACCCACAGAAGAGCCCATGCCTGGCAGAAAACATACCACAAAATGCTGCATTTCCTTGATCCTGAAACATACTTTAAATATAAAATACTCCAGGAACTATGAAGGTTATTCTTTAAATTTTCAAAATTTTAAATATTCACAAAATGCAGCATTTTTAGGTCTTGTTTAACCTTGGATAAAAGGTTAATAATTGTCTGTAAAAGAAAGCTTTCTAAATCTGATATGTTCTGAGATAGATGGACAATAGTAATGTTCTTATCTAGGACTCACAAGCTTAACTTAGTATCTAAGGTAGGTATCTGTGCCCTCTTTATAGTCAGTGAGAAGAGGCTGGTACTTCAGAGCGCAATCCATCCTGCGGACACCAGGAAGCTGCTAGAGGGGGTTGGATTGTCCTGTGGAGGGTCTGCCTTGTTTCACAAACTGTGGAAAAGCCAAGCCCACAGATGGGACGTGGCTGCTGAAGCACTGGTGTCTGGTTGAGATGCCTCATAGCATCTCTCCTGGCCTACAGTTTTTGCCTCAGAAGGTTATGTGTGTCTGAAAATATGTGCCAAGTTGTCCAGAATTAACTCAGGAAACATCCTTTTGCCAAGAGAAGCAAACTAAAAAACTTGTTTCAAGTATCAGTTAAGATATTGTTTCGTTCTCAGGAAGAACCTTTTGTGATGGTGGCAGAGAACATACTTGGGCAACCAAAACGTTATAAAGGATTTTCCATTGATGTCCTGGATGCGCTTGCCAAGAATCTGGGTTTCAAGTATGAGATATATCAAGCTCCTGATGGCAAATATGGACAGCAGCTTCAAAACAGCTCCTGGAATGGCATGATTGGAGAACTCATTAACAAGGTACACACAGAAGCAGCTGCATTTCAAAAAAAAAAAAAAGACGGTTTGTAGTAGGGTGCTAAGCTTTGCAAAGGTGGGGTTTAAATTCTCCCCTTCCTCCATTCCCAATTACAAGACAATGAATTAGGATGAAAGCACCAGTGCAGAAGAATTCTGAGCTATGGGAAGTTTGAGTGTGGTGTAAACTGTGCAATTTAAGGTCTCGTACACAGGATAGGAACTAGAGTCTGTTGTTCTATTTTACTGCCAACTGTTCTCAACATAAATTATATCAATGTAAATCTGTGTGTTTACATAGTTGAAAGAATAAGAAGAGAGAACATGTATGTGTGTGAATGAATGACTATATAAAATACAGGAAAAATAATGTAGTTTTCTTAAAATATTAATTGCTATTTTTTATTTTTTGTCATGATGTCTTTACTACTTGTTTGTAGGTATGACTTTATTCAGGTCACTTTGTAGCAATGTGTTTGATAATGATCAACTGTTTGACTCCAAAACAGGAAAGATGACCCTAGTAATATACCATAAAGAAGTGTTTTGAAGGACCAGAATTTAAATTGATCTCAAGATTTTTAATTAATTTAAAACAGAGAGGACCAAATTTCTTTAATTACATTCTTGAAAATCAGGAGTAAATCAATTGAACTCCACTGAAGTAAATGAGGAAAGTCTGTAGCTTAGAATCTCCAGGAAAATTAAATTAGCGTGTATTTTGTTCATGTTCTCACTATCTGACATGGGACAAATGTTAATCAAGAAGGAGAATAAAAGGAATTAATATTCCATGTTGCTGCCCTTTGTAGAAAAGGTTACTCTTCTGCAGTGGAGTTATTACTGCAAGTGAAAGTTTTCTCATTACCTAGTAAGTAGGCGGCTCAGTATATAGTAAGTAGATGTTTAGGGAGAAACAGAAGCCGTTAAAGAAATAGCAAACGTGTGTATGATGATGGGATATTCTTGGTTTGTGCTAGGAAATATAAAGGATTTTTTAATGCATTTCGCTTTGACATAAGCTGTTTGAATTTCAGTGACTTGAAAATGTGGTAAGAAATCCTGTTAAATTTCTTTTGAAATTGCTTTCTTTGAAGTAACAAAGTATGTATTATGGTATTTTTTTAATGGTATTTCTGCAACTAGCTTTTCCACTGACTCCAAAGGTTTTCAAAGCAGACCTCCCTCACCTAACATTTCCCTTACTTTCCCAACAAAATGTAGAGATAGAAAACAAAAAGTACATTATATTTTTGAAGATAACTGTTTTTATTAAGATGGAAAAATACTCCAAATCTAATTGTAGCTCTTAAAAATATTTGGTAATCTTATGACTCCTGTCATTGAGTTTGCATACTCTTTAAGGACCCTCTACATGTAAAACCTGCTGGCTTTAAATGTTGAGCTCAAAGAAGTTTCAGGAGCTAAGTTGCCTTTGGTGTATTCTTCCAGTTACTGGTTTTTGCAGTAGCTTTATTCACGGTAAAAAACGCAACAAAATCCTTCCCCCAGTTATCATATGAAATCCCTTCATGAATATGGGCAGTTGGCCATCTGCAGGGAGAAGAACAAACTAGCTCTTAACACCTTGCTATCAAATAACACAAGCTAAATAAATGGCATTTCTTTCTTATTGCTTGCAGTGCACCAGGTTAATATGGTTTGGGGTTTTAGGCATCCTTTGGAAAACGAGTGAAGCATAAAGGTTAAATAAATTGCACTCATTCCAGAGAAGAGTCAGGGTGATGCTTTTTGTTCTAGAATACTTTGACGGGTTATGTTTCACTATTTTGCTTTAGACCAGTGCAATTAATTAGTGTTCAAATGGTGAAACTGATTCTGGTTTTATTTTTAGAAAATCTATTTTAATTTGTCTAAACGTGTTAAATTATAAAAAGAAATGCATGGAGTCACTTGGTTCTTAAAAAGCTTCTCCTTAAGGCTCACTCTGGCAGAATTCATGGTGAAAGGAAGAGATCTGATCTGTTGCATTTGTCTCACAGAGAGCAGACCTAGCCATCTCAGCCATCACTATAACACCAGAACGGGAGAGCGTTGTGGACTTCAGCAAGCGGTACATGGACTATTCCGTGGGGATCTTAATCAAAAAGCCTGAAGAAAAAATCAACATCTTCTCTCTCTTTGCTCCTTTTGACTTTGCGGTGTGGGCTTGCATTGCTGCAGCCATCCCTATAGTTGGTGTCTTGATATTTGTCTTGAACCGCATCCAGGCAGTCAGGGCACAGAACGCTTCCCAGCCGAGCCCTTCTGCTTCTTCCACCCTCCACAGTGCCATCTGGGTCGTGTATGGCGCCTTTGTTCAGCAAGGTACTTACTCTTTTATAAACATCACTGACAGATGTTCAGAAATGTTCTGCCTTGAGTAAAGCAGGTCAGAACATGTTAGTCTTGGCTAGAACGGTCTAAAGATGAAAGAGAAGGCTCATATGGGGAGGTAATACATTTTATTAGCCCAAATGACGAAGAGTGGGAAGAGGTAGGTAAGTTTGGGTGATTATGTTCTGCTTTTCTGTCTCTCGGTAAGTCCAGAAAAAACACTCCATGCAGGCTTTTCCACTTTGGCAAAATTATCACGTGATGAATAAACTACAGAGCTGCTTGGTGTGGAATTACAACACTTCTCCAACTCTGAAACTGGCACCTTTTACTAATTGTTTAAATTTAATTTTTGAAATGCATATGTTTTTGAACTAATGTGAGAAAGCTTATCTTTTGGTTCTTTGAACTGAATAGGAAAATTATTTGCGGTCGTGTAACTAACTTTACACTCGGGAACCTCTAGGCGTAGGACTAACCCTATTGAATTCGGTAGGATCGCTACCATTAACAAAGTTACTTTTGTAAATAATTGTTTGCAAAATCTGCTCACACAGTTTTTGTCCCCCATCTATAGCTAGGACTATTGTTGGAAGGCAGATTTTGTTGAATGCTAACATATGGGTATGTTGTTAAGTTTTTTCTATGTTTTTTAATTGTGATTGCCAGCTTATAAAGCTTCAGCTGGAAAATCCTTACTATTGCTATGAAACTTGGTCCCTTACCTCATTAAGGTGACATCCCTAATGGGTTTAAGTACAGTAAGATATAATCACCACAAACATACACTGAAGTGACTAGCACCAGCTCTATGGTAAGGTTTGGTGTCCAACAACGTTCAAGCGTAACTGTTCTTGAAGCCTGCTAGAAAGAAATCTTCACTTTGTTTGAAATGTTGTAAAGAGTAACAAGTAATGACACTAATGGTTCAGTCTTTGCAGATTTAAATACAGCACAGATAGCGCACAAACCATTGGACAGTTTTGTGTTTTTTTCCCTAATCTAAAATGGTCACTGAAAGCAGAATACTGCTATATTCTGAACACTAATGATTTAATTCCTGCATATTAGTCATGCTTCACCATTAAACTTTCTTTATTTAGAAAATTTTTTGCGTTCTGTAGATTTGATCCTCAATAATTCCCAAGGGAAATATTTTGAAAGATGGCTTTCTAGAACAGTATCCAGGGCAAGAGATTGACTGTAAAAAATGTTTGTTAAATTATCAATTTTAATGAAAGCAGCCCTTTTGTCACAGTGAAAGGGCACTCTGGAGGGGAAACAGAAATGCAGAGGAGTAGCTCCAGCAAAGTTTAACGTAACAGGGCACACAGAGGGTGATCATAAATGGAAGCTGCTGAGAGACCCTCATTTTCCCTGTTCATTTGTAGGGGGCGAATCTACTGTCAATTCTGTGGCTATGCGCATTGTAATGGGAAGCTGGTGGCTCTTCACCCTTATCGTGTGCTCTTCCTACACAGCGAACTTAGCAGCATTTCTCACAGTATCAAGAATGGATAATCCTATAAGGTAAGAGCCCCTTCTTAACATGAAGCCTGAAACCTGGATTTCACAGAAAGGTATTATCCATTTGAGCACTCATTCTTGCAAGCAGGAGATAACTCTAATAAAATACACTGCTTATTTGCAGTAGCTGCTTTCTTCTTCTCAACCCTCCTTCTCCTTCACTCCTACAATCCCCAAGCACAAGGTTTGACAGATGCATGGAGGGGACAATGGCACTTTAATTGTGTATTTTTCCAGAAGATATCTTTCATGTTTAGATGTATTTTCTAGTTAAGCAAACTGCTTCAGCTGTCTTTACTTCTTTGTTGAACATCAGAGGGAACTGTCACCTCTAGGGAACTATATAACATTTCACTTCTCACCTGCAATGTGTAATTTTATGTTCTCAATATTTTGATATACACTGTTTTTAATGCTATTATTTGCATGTAAGGTAATATAGGTGGTATTTTAAGATATAAATGGCCAAAATATAAATGGCCAGATTCAGTGGCATTGTTTGCAGAAAGCAGCTTCTTCTCAAGGAGGAAAAGATAACTGAATCTGACTCCAGGGTAACAGATGTAATATAGCAGTTGTTTTATTAAATTTATATATAATTCTCTACAGTTGTGTTAGCAATACTATGATGATAAATTACAGCTTCTGTAACAAACCAAATTTATCTTACAGCTTTGACTTCTTTCCCTTGCCGTTTGCCTACTAATCCATACCCAATGAGAATATTTTCAATACACCAGACCTCTGAGCAGCTCCAGAGAGCTGCTGGTTGTTTGGTGGCAATTTGTGTGTGTGTGTGTCATTTGTTTTTCTTCAGAAAATTTAAAGGCTAAAGAATGTTTTCATTTTTTCTCTCAAAACATGGACAAAATTTCCAACTTCATACTGTCATGGAGTACTGGGAGGGCCATTGAACTTCCGCGGTCAGTGTCGACAGGATTAGAGCCTGGTATCTCATGTTTGGTCTGATGGTGATGGAGTGGAGAGGTGGCCAGAGGACAGGCAGTGCAACACAGGCTCTCCTTCTAGAAAATGCTGAGCCAAGGATTTTGGGTGCTAGAGAGCGACACAGTTACTCTATTGGTCTCACTTGGGGTTGCACTGGGAAAACTGGGACTGTAATCTTTGTGCTTGGCTTGTGAAACAGAGGCATTGGCACTTAACTGAGGCTGGCACTTAAAAAAGCTGCTTTTGCCTTCTCTGTGATATCTGCACAGAAGGACATAAATAGGTACATTTCTCATACACATGAGTTTAACAGTATTTCCAGTTTTTAAATTGTCATTGTGTACTTGCAGTTAATGTAATGGTTTGTATGGATATAGTGTAATAATAATAATAACAATAATAACAACAACAATAAACCAGCCCAAAAGTGTTTTTTTTTTAATTAATTTTCTGTTAGTTTGGCCAAAACAAGTGTGTTTTAACAGTAATAGAAGTCAGAACTGCAAGTAATTTCTGGAAACAACATGAGAAACAGAATAAAACTACTGTAGAGTATCTGTGAGGCCTGGTTCTAATGAGAATAAGGTTAAGCTCAATGAATAAATTGCTCTTGAAACCCAAGACATAAATATTTTTCCACAAAGCTTGAATAATTATCTTCTCATAAATTTCTGAAAGTTCTAGTTCCTTCATGGTACAAGAAATTGTCTGTTTGGTCTACTGAGCATCTCCCAAAACTCAGCAAAGTTCAGAGGAGAACAAAAGTTGGGGTGAAATGCAGTGAGGAATCTGCAAAAAGATACATAGGTTTAAGAGCAGAACTATGAATTTATTAGAGGAGGGTTTTGAGGCTGAGCTATTACAACATTTACAAGGGGTTTTGATTCCCCTTCTTAGTAAAAGGAAAAGGGCATTGCTAAGAATCTTGAGGCAGGGGGAGAGGATTTTTGGGTAAAAGAGTTGCTTGGCGTTGTTTCAGGACTTTAGAGCCCAAATGCTCTTCTATTGTTAGAGATGGCAGCTGAAGAATTATAATTAAATGTCTTTCTACACCTAACAGTAGCTGCCACTTTTCAGGTTCCCGATATCACATCCCCTTGTACAAGGTGAGGATACAGAAGGAAGAAAGCACTCTGCTGTGATCTGCAAATACCAGCAGAGTAATTCAGGTGCCAAACCAGAAATGTCTAAAGTAATTTAAGTTGCCATAAGGTTCACTGCCTGTGCTCCAGCTACTTGGCTATAAGGGCAGGGGTCTCTGTTAGGTGTTGTCAGCCACAATGTGGATTATTCATATTGCCTGAGGTGTCTAAAAGTGGTCCCGGATGCTTCGGCTTAGGCATCCAAATCATTCCCCAAATAATCTGAAATGGTAGCTGTCAGAAAACCCTTTGATTTGATCACTGGTTGGCATAACTGAGCCAATTAAGGGACTTGCTTGTCTTGGCTTGCCTATGGCTGTTTTACAAAGTTTACAGAATCTCCCTGAGAGACAGAGAGAGAGATCGGGACTAAACCCTCTCATAGGAAACTGCTAGTGCCTTAGAAGAGGGGATGGGGTAAAGAAATAGGTTCTCTGGAAGCTCTGTTGAGCCTTCACCCATTTCTAAGCTACGACAAAGATATTTTCATGTCCCTGCTCTTTAGGAGAAACATCTTATAAAATGTTGTGTCAGATTTAGAACAAATATTTTTTCCCGAGAAAGTAAATTACTGCCTTACATGAACGCATTGTGGCCTGGTGTCTCAGCTCCCAGCACTACTTAGCTTCAGCATTGTATGATGCAGGGTGACTATATTTGCCTTTCTAAATTTGCCACTTAACTCATATCTTTCATGGACCCAGAAAGGAATACTTACTTGAAATCCATTTTTCCCACCTAAAGAGGGACAGTGAGTTATAGCTGAAAATTTGCTCACCAGCTGAGAACTACCAAATCCATCTGTGTATACTTCCCTTGTTAAGAAACCACCCCCCATCCTCTCAGTAAATGTGTGCTATTATCTCTCCCTCCATAGGAAGGTCCTTTAGTGTTCAGTACTGCTGCTGCTAAATTGCCAGCAGGAGAGAAAATAGTATTATGGTGTTGCAGTAGCTGTAACATAGTTAAGATTTTCATTAGAAGACCGATTTTCTTCCTAAGCCCCCTCCAAAATGCCTAATAAAAGTTCTGTCAGCATCAAATTTGGCATGTGTGGTCTGTGACTAGCAGAATAGGAGTGTGTTTGATTGAATAACTAGGTGTCAATCAACCCAGTGATACCTCAACAACTTCACTGAAAAACAAGTGTGTCATAGAAATCATAGATGATATTTGTTAGAATGGGCTTGGTGAGACATTCACTGAAACAAAGTTGAACTGTTGGAAGGCAGATTTTTAGAATTAGCATGTCAGATGAAAGCCTGCTGATGAGGGAATAATTTTTTTTTAATGGGGTATTGGTAAATCTCACAAGGCTTTTCCACCCTGCCATGAGTTTCAGGGACTGCCTGGGGCTCCCAGGGAGGTGACACACCGGGAGTAGGAGGCATGGCAGAAAGCAGCTCTGGTATGCTTTCTGCATTTCCTGACAGAGACTAAATCCCAAATGGGTTCTCAAGTACTGTGCTGTCCAGCTGTCCAGATGCCATGTAACAAATGTGCCTGTCTTGGAAAGAACAAAAAACTTCTTGGATTTTCCCAAACCCTCAAGGGCTTCATCACAAGTGTGATAATGGGGACAAGCCCTGGCTTTCTGGTCCGGCACGGCTGCGTGTGCTGCCATGGTCCTCGTGTCACTCGTCCTGCTGTTAAGAGGGTGGTGGGCAGGGTCAGAATCTGGAGTTTGAGACCCATATCAAAACCTCTGGCCCTTTGGGAGATGGAGGACAGCAGAACGCAGCATGAACCCAGCTGTCCTCCATTTTCCAGTTGCTAGTGGTTGGTATTTCTGCACCCCTTTGCGCTTTTAATACTGCTTTTCTGAGCCCTCTGTCCAAATTACTTCTTCTGCTCTTCTCATCTTCTCTCTGCCCCAACCTCACAACAAGAGAACAAAGGCAATGTAGTGGTTACCATAGGATTTCTGCGTTCGTGGAGATTCACAGGCAGGACAGTGAACCATCAAGCAGATTTCCTGACCGCATGTGGGCAGAGGAGTGAGATGTTACCTGGTTCCAAAAGAGAAGGCATTTTTTTGTGAATGTGCTGGTGGCAACCACTTTGGAGCTCAGGCTAGGAGGCTGTGAAACATGTTCTAACTTTGTAGATGAGCAATTCTTAATTTTTGTGTTTAAATAGAAATCTAGGTAATGTTTAGAGCCTGTGCTAATCCTTGACAAAGTTGTTTAAACCCAAATGATTTTGCATTTATTATTCTAGTAGTCGCCTTCAGAACTGTAAGCAGCTGAGAATAATGGGTCAGTCTGCCAAGTAAGGGCTAAATTATTACATGGCAGTTTGTTCTTTCTTTTGTTTTATTACATTTTCAAACAGCCCTTGGATCTGCTGTCTGACCTTCCATTTGTAATTATGAGTTTAATTAGCAGTGACTTAACTTCCAGCTTAATTTCTTGTTAACAAGCAGACTACATGCAGTTCGGTAGCTGCACAGATACTCGGAAGCTCAGGTTTAGGAGAGCTTCTCTGACAGGAGGTTAAGAATCATGCAGAGTAATAGGGCATAAAAAAGTAGGCTATTTGCAATTGTAAGAGAGTTTAAATTTAAGATTTTATCAAATTGATCCTTAACATTTGCACATGCTATGTATGTTTTGAAAGGCATCTGTATATATGCATTCATAGACTGCATAGAAATGCATTCTGCTTTCAAGTTCACAGCTGCTGTGTCATGATTTGGGATTTTCTTATTTGCACTTTAATCTCCAAATTTCATGTGTTTTGGTGACAGCTGAAGATGTACTGCAGCTTAGTTGGGGTGATAGTCTGGCACTTGGAAGACTTGGGTGCAAATTCTTTTTCTACCACAAGCTTTGTTTGATCTTGGCAAGCTTAGCCTCTTCTCTGTCTCAGTTCCCTTTCTGTACAACAGAGTAACAATTTTTTCGTATCTTA